CTACCATCGATTGGCTCCTCCTCGACATTCACGACAAGAACGGACTTTACATTTTCTCAAGGTAATCCTTTAGTATTACTACCTACCACACTGTATTGCAAATAACTAAGAGTAATAGCTATTATACATGTTCTAGGTTGGATCAAAAATCACAATGTAATAATCTCGGTTTCCTTTACAGTTATCATAAGCATTTTTTATAAGATTCAATAAATCAGTCGAACCAAAACAAGGACTGCTCGGTCAGTTTGAGGTCACGCATCACTAACCACTTCTGCCGCCGTAAGAGCTTTATATCATCAAGTTATAACGCAATATGCAAGTAGATCCTCCAAAAACTTGGTATCGAAACAGCGCTGTCTTTTTTCTCAATTTCTGCATAAATACATGATTTTACTGTGTCATCTGGTTATTGCTTAATTTTGAATTACAAATTTGGTTTCTTCTTTGTTGGGCCCAAAATGTAATTTCATAGAGCTCGAAGTAAATTACGTTTATAAGAACAGATGGTAGTAGATACAAATGCCCCATAGTTTTGGTGCAACTAATCTGCACGCTGTAGTTGCTGAAGCATCTGGTCTGCCATTAATGATTGTGATCAATCTTTTCTCTGCGAAATGTGGATAGCCAGTCAGATATTACAATGGTTTTCCATCCCAGGGAAATGTCAGGATCAGCAGCTTTTGACACACATCGTAAAGGATCCTCTTTCCTTATGATTTTTGTTTTCATTATTCCTTTGAACTGAGCTCTTGCTAAGCCCAAGGTCCATTCAGTGACTGTTATCCCCAAACCCCTTCGGAACGGGTGTCGGGACGTCAAGCTAAACAGGCCGCCTGAGGACTGAGTCGCCGACGGGGAAACTGGACCAAAACTAGCTAACCCTTCCCCTTGTCCGGTTAACTTCCTCTATCACAAAGGAAAGCCTACAAAAATATCAGTACTTGGCTGTGAAATAAACTCGATTGTGATTTTTGAACCATTGAAATGTATAGTCGTGCGCGTGTGTTACTGAACACATAGGCATACTCGGAGAAAAGGTGGAGAGCACATAGTTTCCATTCAGCTGTTGGAATCTTTTTCCCGCCCAGGATGGCCTGCGTGTGCTACCTCAGCGGGTTCTTCCCGCGAGGCCCAAGGCTTCGCCGCTCACGTCCCCGGGCTCCGAGAGCGGCGTCAGTGGACTCAGCCACGACGCCCGCGACACCGCGCCTCTGTTGGACAACCTCGAGACGTCGCCCACCTCTCCCTTGAAGGCGCCGCTCGCGCCATCGCCCCCCACCCTGCAGAGTGAGTGTCCGGAGCTGGAGGCCGCTACACCCCGTGAACCTCCTCAATCGGCTGACTCGGAGTCTGAGTCGGCTGCGTCAGGTTACGAAACGGATACAGACGCGGAGGACGACATAGACGCCGCAGTGGCCGAGTACCAGGAAAAGCTGCGTGTGGCAACGCTAGACACCGGCGCCCCCTGCACGCCGAACCCCGCCTCAGCTCGGCGGGCGTGCTTGGTGCTTGCAGCTCTGCTATTAACGGTCATTATAGAATCCCTTGTGGCAGTGTATGGGTGGCGAGGCGGCGGTACTCACCCGTTCCTGGTGGCGACTTTGGTCATCTGCATGTTGGTCACTCTCCTGCTGGTGGTCCTGCTCACTCGCCTGCCTACCCTCCGTCCCAACCAAACCGTCGCCTTCCAAGTGCCGGCCGCGCCGTGGCTCCCCGCTGCGGCTCTCTTCCTCAACTTCTTCTTGCTGGTGCAGGTGCTCAGCCACTCCTGGGCGGTCCTCTTCGTGTATTTATTAGCAGGTATTCTAGTTCACACTAATTACTCGGAAAAATAATCGCATGTAAAACGTTGTTTTGAATACTATCTTCTTGCATTTGTTAATAATGTTTGTATATCCTCACAACCTTCTTCCTAACAGGTATCTCGTGGTACTTCATCTACGGGATGCGCCACAGCGCCCTTGCCACACAGGAAGTCGTGACCCAAAGAGTTCGCGCGAACGAGTTCATCTGCCTGGAGCCCCTCGCGCCCCCTGCCCTGACCTCCACCCTTTTGCAGGCGTCCTCCGAGAGGCTGCCCGACCCCGCCCACCATCAAAGCTTCACCAGGTTAACGCCAGTCGATACAGTGCTCATCACCAGGTGAAGAGCGCTCTGGCAATGACAACTATGGAGAAAGTCAGCCTTTGGTACCGATGAGGGATATTTTTGAAGAGGAAGCCCTTCGCGAAATGAGCCGTTTTTGAAAGAAAACCTTTTCTTCCACAAATCTGTTTAGTGTCAAGTGCCATAACTCTCTTTAATATGATAATATTAAAACTTTAAGAAAGGAAACAGCGATACTTATTTCCGGATTGGGAATCGCTTTTGATAATCAAGTACCAGTTCACAGCAGTGTCTTTCCATGTGATAAGAATCAAAAGATATTACTGATGCAATTAATTTAAGGAGGTGTAGGCCTGTCCAAGCAATAAATAGAATTATCTACAAGGTGAAG